TGTTAGAAAAAACACGTCACACCAGAATACTACATCTAGAAACTTGAACCTTCAAAGATGAAGGCTGTGTTGGCCTTCTACTGCCTGTGATAAGAAATTAACATAAATTTAGTGACTTAGATAATACAAACTTATCATCTTATACTTCTGGAGGTCAAGAGTCAAAAATGGGTCTCACTGAGCTAAAATCAAGGTGTTGGCAAGGTGGCATTTCTTCTAGAGGCTCTCGAGTAAAATTAATTTTCTTGCCACCTGCATCCTTTGGCTCATGGGCCTTGTCTTCATCTTCAAAGCCAGCAATGGTAGGTTGAGTTCTTCCTTCATCAGACAGAATCACTCTGACCTAGGCAGAATCACTTCTGCCTTGACCTTCTAATTTTAGGGACCCTAGGATTACATTGTGCCCATCTGAATGTCTAGGACAGTTTTCCTATTTTAAATTCACCTGATTAGCAACTTTAAATCCATCTGCAACCTGAATTACCCTTTTCCATGTAAGCTAACATATGCAGTTTCCAGGGATTAGGACATGGATATATCTGGGGGCCTGATTATATTGAATATATAAAAGGCTATGTAAAGAAATTTGCAAGAAAAGAAAAACAGAGGAAGTAAATTGCCAATGGACATGCACTACAAGAATTATTAGGCATTTAAGATTATTTTTTCCTTTTAACTTCTTTAAAGTACATATAGCTCTTTAAAACAGAAGTCTAACGTTGTTATCTGAAGCGTATTATGAATGTAGATATAGCCCCATGTGATAACTATAGAATAAGGAATGACAGGGTGTGGTAAACGGACTTGTGGTGTGTAATGTTTGTACGTTTTATGTGAAGTGGTACAATGTTAACTCCAAGTGAACTGTGGAAAGTTAAAGACATCTAATGTAATCTCTAAAGCAACACTGAAATGTACTATAATGAGGTATTGTTAAAGAGCCAATTAATGACATAATTCGTCTTCTAAAAAATCCCCACTCATTTAAATAATCCAACGAAGGCAGAAAAGGGGAACAGAAGAGCAGAAACATAGGGGCAAACAGACAACTATAATAAAATGGTACATATAATCTTAATATATCAATTGTTACATTAAATAGTAATATACTAAACATTTCAACAGAAAGGCAGAGATTATCAGAATGGATAAAAAAGCAAGATACAACTATATGTGATTTACAAGAGGTAACTTTCAATATGAAAATGCAAATAGGCTGAAAGTAAATGAACAGAAAGCATATCAAATGCACATGACATATTCACCATAATCATATGCTGGAGCATAAAACAAGTCTTCATATATTTAAATGTATTGAAAAATTCCACTTGTGTTCTTAAACCACCACAGAGTTAAGTTAAAGATAAATAACTACTAGATGTTTAGAAAAACATCAAGTACTTTTAAATTAAAAATCATACTTCTAAATAATCCATGGATCAAAGACAAAATCATAAGAAAAATTAGAAAATGTTTTAAACTGAACAATGATGAAAATATAACCTACCAAATCTTGTATGATGCAGCTAAAAGACTGCTGAAAAGAAAAAAATTAGCCTTTTATGCTGATATTAGGAAACAGGGAAGTTCTGAAAATTAAAGATTAATGATTAAGAAACTAGAAGAATGGTTAAACAAAAAGAAGAAAGAGGATTAAAAAGATAAGAACAGAAACCAACAAAAAAGAGAAAAGATACACAAGAGAGAAAACTTAAAGCCAAAAGCTGTTTCTTTAAAAAGATCAATGAAAGTGATAGATATTTTATTAGTATGATCAAGAAAGAGAGAGAAAACATATTACCAACATAGAAAATTAAAGAGTTTATTCCTGCTGATCCTAAAAACAAAAAAGAAAATATTATAAACTACTGTATGCCAGTTCATTTAGCATCTTAAATGAACAACTCCTTTAAAAATGCAGCTTACTAAAATTGATACTAATGAAATAGAACACACGAATGCCCCCATTTATTAAAGAAATTTAATTTTTCTGATCAAAAATCTTTCCACACTGAAAACTCTAGGATCAGATGATTTCACTGCTGAATTTTGTCAAACATTCTCAGAAGAAATCACATCAATCTAATATAAGTTATTTCAGAAAACAGAAGAAGGAACACTTTCTGACCAGTTTTAGAAGTCCAACTTAACCTAATATTCCTGAACCAGACACACACATTACCAAAAAAAAAAAAAGTAAATTACAGAAATTACATTCTTTATGTACAGAGACACAAAAATTATTGCAAAGAGTTAGTAAATCAAAACCAGTAATTTATAAGAAGTACAAATATATTATGTTCAAGTGAGGTTTATCCCAGGACTGAAAATGTAACCTTACCTTTCAAAAATCAATCAGCACAATTCATCCTACTGGTAACCGTCAGTGTGTTCACTATAGTTAAGAGTCTGTTTCTTGGTTTGTGTCTCTCTCTCTTTTTTTTTTCCCTTTTCTTGTTTGTTTTGTTTCTTAAATTCCACATATGAATGAAATCACATGACTGATATCTGTGCAGAATTGGGGAATAATGTAAGGCCTGCTGTGACTTCGGTAGGAGATGTAAGTGCTGTCCCTAAGTGCTTTTATGACAATTTGATAAGACACCATGGCAGTGTCCTCCAGAGAGCAAGTGGTAGAAAGCTCTCGAGGAATTGTGGTAGTTCAAGATGGAAGGAACTTGCCTCTCTTCTCTGGTGTACGAGTATCGGAGGGTGCCTACTCCATCTTGCAGGTCATCTCCAATGGGCCAAAATAGCACAGGAATCAGCTTCCCCCAAATCCCTGCCTATGAATTATTACACAGCATTTGACCATGTTCAAGAACAACTACCCGGAGGTGGTTTTGTGGTAAGTGAAGGAGCAAATCCTATGGATATTGGATGCACTGTGCTTCAGAACGAACTTCGTCATCACAGGCTTGATGCTGATACTTTTGGAACAATGGGAGTTGGGTTAGGATTTACCAGCGCAGCCTCCATAGTGGCTAAAGACAGAAACCCAGGGCAGCGGTCATCTGTGTGGAAGGAGACAGTACACTTGGATTTTCTGGCGTGGAAACGGGAACTATCTGCTGGTACAACATGCCAATCATACCTTTGGTGATGATGAATGATGGAATTTACCAAGGTTTCAATGTAGACACTTGGAACAAGATGTTGAAATTTGGAGGTGCTACTAAAGTGGTCTCTTCAGTCTGTCCTCTGTCAAACTCCCAGCAGGAGCAGGTTACGACTGCATTTGGAGGCAAGGAGTAGCTTGTACAAAACCAGAAGAATTCCAAAGTCATCAAGACAGAACGTGGCAGACACACAACTAAACTCTCTCTTATCAATATCATGACTGAACCACGAGCCACATGGAAGGCCCAGGATTTTCACTGGCTGACCCGCTCTGATACGTAAGTAAAGATACCAGGGAGTGTTCTTGAGGAGTTTTCTCTTTTTTGTGAGTCGGAATTTCATTTTCCACAGCAAAATTACTAAAATGTCAAGATTATTGTACCAATAAAAAATTAAAAACACTTTTTAAAAAATATTTTATTTATTTATTTGACAGAGAGAGACACAGCGAGAGAGGAAACACAAGCAGGGGGAGTGGGAGAGGGAGAAGCAGGCTTCCCGCGGAGAAGAGAGCCTGATGTGGGGCTCGATCCCAGGACCCTGGGATCATGACCTGAGCCAAAGGCAGATGCTTAACCAACGGAGCCACCCAGGCGCCCCTAAAAACACTTCTAAATAAAAAAAAAATTATATATATAATTCATCCTACTAACAGAACCATTACAATGATTTCACTAGATGTAGCCTTGGTGAAATTAAAAAATATGTAACAACCAGGTTTAAACAGAGACTAGAACCAGGGGAAGAAGGAAGTGTGAACTGGAAAGTGCAAAGCGGTACAATGGAAGTTAAGGATGAAGAGATGCAAAAGTTAGGACACTAAGCAGACAGAACAAGAAAGTCTAGTATTTGTCTATGGGAACTTCATAAGAGAATAAAGTGAATCCGCTGACAGTAAAGAGGACAATGGAGAATTGTCCAAATTGGTGAAAGTTAGGCATTCTCAGATTAGAGAAGCATAACACATCTTAAGCCAGATGAAAAAAATAGATCTTCTCCTAAACAAATTTTCTTCGTGGGAAAACCAAGACAAATATCCTAAATAGTACCAGAGGATGAGGGTGGGGGGACACAGAATACCTGCAGACCATCATCATCCGTGTACTTGCAAAGTAACGATAACAGGCCAGAGGTCAATGAAATGTATTTAGGTTACTAAATAAACATACTCATTAAATTAGAATTCTAAATTCATCTGGAACAGCATTGAAAGGTGAGGATGCGTTAGTTAAAAAATGGAGCTAGAAGAAGTTCATATCCTTGAAAGAATGATTGAAAATAGAACTTCAGCCAAAGAGAATGGAACCAGGAATACAGGGTTAAAACAAAACAAAACAAAACAAAACAAAACAAAAAACCAAATAGAATACAAGAAGCAAAAGCAGGCAAAGAACCACTGATAAAATATTGTGGAAAATTTAAATAAAGAGTTCTTAAAGATAGTGATGGCAACAGTTATAATAATAAGTCATTTTAATGAAATAAGATGAAAGATAGGAAGGGGGAAATATTGCAGAGCTAATGTCCTTCTATCATTAGAAGACAAGAGAGACAAGACTTTTTAAGATATTTGAATTGCATGGTGCTGAAAACTTCATTTGCCATCATTTAAAATTCAAGAGCTTTCTCCTAAAGAATTGATTTTCCGTTAACTTGAATATACATTTTGTCAATTTTAACTTAATCACTAGGAGATTATACAGAGAATGTAAATTTTCAAGACAACTGAGGGAAGTAGGGGAGCGTTAAACCTGGTCCACCCAGGGGTGCTATGACAGGAGAAAAGTAGGGACAGAGAAAACAAGAAACCACGTGCGTAGAAAGCATGAGCACTTCCCATGTTATCTGATGTCCTTTAACTTATTATTCACACCTTCTAGGAGGATGGAGAACCGCTTTTACAACCAAACAGGAAATACAGTGCAAAGGACTCATTTTACAAGTCCTCGACTCAAAAGTAAGCATTTTTCCCAGTAGAACTTTGATTTAAAAATGTACATCTAGGGGAGCCTGGGTGGCTCAGTCGGTTAAGCAGCCGACTCTTGGTTTCAACTCAGGTCATGATCTCAGGGTCCTGAGATCAAGCCCTGTGTGTAACTCTGCACTCAGCGGGGAGTCTGCTTGAGCTTCTCCCTCTCCTCCCTTTTCTCCCTCTGCCCCTCCCCCTCCACATATATAAATGAGTCTTTAAAAAAATTTAAAAAACCTAAAATAAAGTATTTCTGTGTCATCTTTCATGACACATCCCCTTTGTGTCCACAGTGTCGGGGCTTCAGTGAGTCATTCAGAGAGCATCAGACGCAGATACTTACTCACTCATGTTGATGGCTAAAATAAAGAGGTCAAGGGAGAGTCTTAAAGAAAATCTATGTTTAATAGAAGAATAAAACGAAAGCAGAAAGGAAATGGTTAGAGAGAGGAGAAGAGTAGAGCATCACAGAAAACCAAAGCAGGGAAAGCCTGAAGGAGTTCATTTACTCAGTCAAAAACCATATTCAACTCTTGCTGTGTGTCTGTGCCCCAGGCTATGAGGTTCATCAGGGAAGAAGGCAGACAAAGACCTCTGTTCTCCAAGAGCTGTCATTCTAAAGGGAGATGGACGATAAGCACAAACATAACACGTAAATAGCTCATATCTTAGAAAGTAATGAGTCTGTGGAAACATAAAAAAGATGGAACAGGTTGAGAGCATCAGGGGTGTCCTGTGTAAGGGTAGGAGGTTTCAGTAGTGAAGGAGGTCTTGGGGGGGGGTCCTCCTCCGGTGATGGGATTTCAGAGAAGCTCAGAAGGCATAGGGGAGTGACTTGCAGATCTCTGGAGTGACCGTTTTCCAGGCAGAGGGAATGCAGAACCATGCAGAAGACCTGTGTCAGAAGCGTGCATAGGGTCAGGGATGCACCACGGGCCAGGGTATCTAGAGCAGAGTACAAGAGGGGAATTAGGAAGAGAAGATGGGAAAAAGCAGGTAGTGTCTGGAACCAGACGTCCAAGGGCCCTTTAAGCAGCTGTAAACACCAGGGCTTTTTCTCTGAGGGAAGTGAAGGTTTAGCAGACAAGTGGCAAGATCAGACTTGCAGAAAGCAACGTGGTGGCCTCTGTGTTCCCAGCCAACCAGATGAGGCAGAAGGGGGAGGCCAGGGTACCACTGGCGTCTATAGGGGTCAGGTAAGGACGGTTTGGGGGAGGCTGGTAGAAAGGTGTCAGCCACAGTTGGCTTCTGGATATATTTTGAAAGTAGAGCCAACACAATTTCCAGTTTACAGGTAATGAGTCTCATAGGAGTCAAGAACAATCCAAGGGTTTGGGCTAAGCAGCCAGATAGCCTGCAGTTGCGATTACTTTGACACGGGAGTGGGTTTGGAGGGAACGGTCAGAAGTCCATTTTAGACCTGCTGAATGTAAAGATGTTCATTAGATATCCACGTGGCTATGTCAAGTAGGTCACGGGGTGTATGGGTCTGGGGTTTGGAAGAGCGGTCTGAGCTAGAGAAATTAAGTGTAGGGGTCATGGCTTAGCAACAAGTGTGAATTGGCAGACACACATTAAGGGTGTTCGGGGAGGAGGGAGTGAAACTGTGCAAACGGTCAAGGACAATCAGCCTCGAGAAGAGATGATTGCAGTTGCCCAGTGGGCTTTGAAGTCAGCAGAAACACAGAGAGTGGAGAAGAGCGGGGGTACAGGGGTGGCTGCCATGAGCACAAGGAACTGATAGTGTGTGTGGGTGCCGCAAAGCACTTCATTCCCTCCAAAGTCCTTCCCTCCCCAGGGGCTGAACCCAGCAGATGTGCCTCACATTTCAGCTTCACCCACCACCAGTTTCATGAAATATACTTAAGAGCAGATATTTTCTCAGAAGGTTTATAAAAATATAAAGAATATATGTGAAATGTGTGATTAAAATCAGAAGTCATGCTTTCTCTCTCTCTCTCTCTGTTCTCTCTCTCTCCCTTTTTCTCTGCAAGTCTCCTTAGGAGAAGAAATCAGCATTGGGATACTTGTTGACCCAAATGATGCCAATTTGTTAATGAAAATGTCACCTAGTAGCCCTTTATGTGTTTTGTGTATAAGAAATGTTCTGTGAAATATCCTGCCATTCTGTAAGCTTCGGTTTCAATCATCTGTACTTAGTTTTCAGGAAGTTGAAAACTGAGGCATTTTAAAAAGATGTTATTTATTTATTTGAGAGAGAGAGCACAAGCAGGGAGGAGGGGCAGAGGGAGAGGGAGAAGCAGACTCCCCACTGAGCAGGGAGCCCAACAGAGGGGCTCGATCCCAGGACCCTGGGATCATGACCTGAGCAGAAGGCAGACCCTTAACGACTGAGCCACCCAGGCGCCCCAAATTAAGGCATTTTTTTAAAAGATTTTATTTATTTATTTGAGAGAGAGAGAATGAGAGATAGAGAGCATGAGAGGGAAGAGGGTCAGAGGGAGAAGCAGACCCCACGCTGAGCAGGGAGCCTGATGTGGGACTTGATCCCGGGACTCCAGGATCATGACCTGAGCCGAAGGCAGTCGCTTAACCAACTGAGCCACCCAGGCGCCCCAAATTAAGGCATTTTAAAGAATTGTACTTCTTGCCCATTTTGTGGCTGAGATGGGGGAGGAGGCAAATTCTATTTCAATATATACTTGGAGATTCTAATGCAAAATCATACAGCCTTTTTTCTGTAAACAGGGTCTTTTTTAATGAGGGATTATTTTTGTTCTAACCCATATTTCAGAAGAAAACCAATCAACCAAATGCATTATTAGGGTTATAGTGCCCCGTTGTCTGAAGTTCACGTCCCTTGGACAGAACCCTCTGTATAGACCACAAGTATTACAAGTCTGGATGGCAAGTTTGTAGCAAGATCGTGTGCCTTATCTCCTCATTGTAAAACGACTGGGAAAGTATAGCGACAATCATTTTTACACAGTTCTTTTTGTTGGTGTGTTGGCAACAGCTCCTTGTTTTCCTTAGGAAGAGTGTTGTTCATGTGTGAGCCTTCATTAACTCCAAGTGAAGTGATGAAAATATTTATCCCTTTAGAATAGTCTGCATCTTTTTAGCAACTCATGAAAAAACAAAAGACTGTACTAATTTACACTATTTACCAAGCTGCAATGCTTCAAGAGCACTACTTAAAAAGCAAAATAAACTTCATTTACATTAAAAGAAAGAAAAAAAGAAAGAAAGAAAGAAAGAAAGAAATACATGGTATGGAGCTGTGTTTCAGAGTCTTAGAGCAATTTGAGAAAAAAGCTCTATAGAAAGCATCTGCAGTCTGGGGGCCAGTAGTGAGACCCCCAATTCTCACCTTTCTCATCTTAAAAATGAAGGATTTTAACGAAATGGCCTATAATTTCCTCTCTGGTTTTTGATTTCATTCCCTATCATATTCTTATCTTGGTGTCTCTCAGAAAAAATTCCAGTGGTCATCTTGGAAAAAGTTACTGATTTGGCTAAATTCGTGATGCTTTGCTCAGAATATAAGGATTTTTATTTGCAACGACGTGGATGGAACTGGAGGGTGTTATACTGAGTGAAATAAGTCAGTCAGAGAAAGACATGTATCATATGACCTCACTGATATGAGGAATTCTTAATCTCAGGAAACAAACTGAGGGTTGCTGGAGTGGTGGGGGTGGGAGGGATTGGGTGGCTGGGTGATAGACATTGGGGAGGGTATGTGCTATGGTGAGCGCTGTGAAATGTGCAAGACTGTTGAATCACAGATCTGTACCTCCGAAACAAATAATGCAATATATGTTAAGAAAAAAAAAAGAAGAAGAAGATAGCAGAAGGGGAAGAATGAAGGGGGGGAAATCGGAGGGGGAGACGAACCAGGAGAGACGATGGACTCTGAAAAACAAACTGAGGGTTCTAGAGGGGAGGGGGGGATGGGTTAGCCTGGTGATGGGTATTAAAGAGGGCACATTCTGCGTGGAGCACTGGGTGTTATGCACAAACAATGAATCATGGAACACTACATCAAAAACTAATGATGTAATGTATGGTGATTAACATAACAATAAAAAAGAAAAAGAATATAAGGATTTTTGACAAAACAAAGTATGAAATCATACTATTCAATAGTCTCATTTAAAACAGCATATAAAAGTTTTCATAGGGGGAAAAAAATCTTGTGAAACCTGTATGGAAAATTCCATAAAATATTCGTGAAATGAATCAGAGGCTCAAACAGAGATGCATCTTGCAAAATTTAATTCAACCCAGGTGAATTTCTTACGACAATACCATTCAGATATTCTGTCTGAAGAATGCACCATTTTAGGGACCCCTGGGTGACTCAGTCGGTTAAGCATCTGCCTGTGGCTCAGGTCATAATCCCAAGGTCCTAGGATCTAGTCCTTGCTCAGCAGGGAGGCTGCTTCTCCCTCTTCCTCTGCCACTCCCCCTGCTTGTGCTCAATCTCTCTGTGTGACAAATAAATAAATAAAATCATTTAAAAAAAGAGAAAGAAAAATGAACCGTTTAAGCTTTCACTACAATTGAAAGTATTTCATAAGAGTTAGCTTTTCTTTAGGACACAGTAATTTCAGACTGAGTGAGTTGAAAACATATACACAACAGTGAACACACTGTGGAGCCATCACCATGGTATTTAAGGTCACAAATATTAATTTAATGAATCATCACATCAGTCCTATGTGGTAAATAAAATGTTTATGTTGTTTCTTATCCAGGCTTTTATCCCAAGCCCCTAGCACAGTGCTTGAAATACAGTAATCGCTGAATAGATATTTGTTGAGGGAATGAGGATCACTGGTAATTGTTTGCCAACAGAGAGGAGTGGAATTATTTGGAAGGAGAAGGCTGGCTGACAGTGTAGGACGGAGCGTTCAGCTTTTGCATCAAGGCTGGGCGGGGGTGGGGCAGGATGCTGGACACCGGGGCTGGCCATCTATCCTTCTATCCTGTCAGGATGCCATCATGGGAATGAGGGCTCTTTGGTTTTCCTTCAGGATCAAACTGGAGTCTGTTTAGCTGCATCTGTCATGTGTGTCTGTCTGAAACAATAGAACTTTGAAAACTTGAAATCCAAGACAGTACCTTTAGATCTGAATCCTGTGTATATAACGCTTGCTTTTGCTAAGATGGCTGGACTCCTGGTACCATGGTCCAGACTTTGATAATCAGGATCATTGGTGTGGGGCAGTGGGAATGTGGCTCACTCTTCAGGGGCGGAGAATCTGCATCTGCATCCTGACTTTGACCACCAGTAGCTGAGCGACCTTAAGCAAACAAATTTCATTCTCTAAGCCAGAGTTTGTTTATTTGTAAGTTAATGAATGGTCTTTCTGCCCTGCTGTGAAGGTCAAATGCATTTTTTTGTGTGTGAACTGTAAGATGCATATAATTAAATGCATTGGTTTTCTACTGCCATGCAACAGATGACCACAATTTATCAGCTTTAAACCACATGACTGCAGTCAGAAGTCCAGGTATGCCCCAAATGGGTTCAATACTCAGAGTTTCTCAGGCTGGAATCAGAGTGTCAGCTGGGGCTGGGTTCTTGTCCTCCAGGAGCAATTGGATTCTTTCTTTCTTTCTTTCTTTCTTTCTTTCTTTCTTTCTTTCTTTCTTTCTTTCTTTCTTTCTTTCTTTCTTTCTTTTTCTTTCT